AAAAGATGCTCACCATGACTCTAATTATATTCTTCAGCTCGTTTATTTTCACCAAAAAGGCCTCCTCTCTTGATGCATTCACTACGGGCGTAGAGGAACTCTTCGCTTTCGACTCGCGAACAACGGATTTGAGTTCTTCGAGTTCCTCCTTCAAGTAGGCATTCTCATCCCGCAGACGATCTGCCTCATAAGAAAACCGTGACAAACGGATGCCTTCTCCTCCACTTCCTGCGAAGTCTTTCGCTCATAATTTTTAGTTCGTCCTAGGAAATAGGCCATATGAACGACATTCACAAAACAAAAATATCCATTGTAAGCTTGAGTCAGCTGAAAAGATGCAAATGGCTTAATAAAACAGACGCAAATATTTTACCTCTAAACTCGTCATTCTTGACAACTGCGAGCGCATTTGATAGATTTCGGCACTGCTTTCGCTGAGACTTCTCTTCAGAGCAGCATTGACTTTTTCCAGCTCTTCTGATTTTTCCTTCATTCCTTTCTGTTCCGCCTCAAACTCCTGTCTAAAAGTTGGTTGAAGGAAAAACTGCAATTGAGAACTAACAGAAAAGCTCTCAAAAGAATACACACTGACATAGTATTACACTTACCGATAGTATGATCTCAACTCTTCCTGCTTGCCGCTCAGTTTTGCCCATTCTTGGTTGAGAAGCTCGACATCAGATGTGAACTTTCTGCAAAATTAATATTAGGTTGTCCCATAATTAGTGAATCACTTTACATTTATTGGTATGAAAAATCCAAGAAAAGTGGTAAAGACGTGAAACACGTTTTGCCAAGTAGCACCCACATTCTCCTACCTGAGCATTTAGTTAGCCCATTTACATGATGCGTTACATGGCTATTTCATCAATTTTTTCTGAAACCTATTTTTGAGCTTCTCTCTTCATCACTTCTTACTAGGACCTTTCAAACGCCAAACAACATTGTGGATCAACCAGCAGATAGGCTAGGGCACGGTCGCTCAATCCACGGTGCACCTATGATTGACTCTATTCCGGGGTTGAATTTATTATTTGAAGATGACCCACACTCCAGGTACCCTTCGACTGGCAATCTCACTGCCCTAGCCAGCGCCACTAAGAATGGAACTGAACAAACTATTCTGTTTGCTAGAGCGTATCCAACTTGTTAAGATGGTGAAATGTAGACAACTCCGTAGAGTCGTTAAATTTAAAAATATGAAATTTGTTCCTCCCGTGCTCTGTGCCCGAATCAGCTTCAAACACGATCTGACATCGTCATGTTCCTTCTGTCCTCTCTTACTTCCTTACAATGATCATACAGCATGCTCACTGGGATTGTGGACTGGGTGGAGTGTGCTATCAAATCCACAAGGAACGGTAGCCTATCTTGAACGATTCTTGAGTTCTGACAGCAGAAGCCCAACCTCCTCTAAGTCCAACACTTCCTGGATATTCGTGAAACACGAGATGGACCTTGCGCTGGGAACCGCCGCCCAGTAATATAGGGGTCACTGAAGAAGGTCAATGTCGATACCGTTATGGCGACGCGTTCGAACTGACAGTAAAGCAAGACAATGTCTGCTTTTTTCCTGAGGTCGTTCGACCCCACCTTGCAGAGAATATTCATAAAAAGTTGGAGACTCCCAGGCTAACAGTACTTCCACCTCCGCCGTGTAGCTCTAACCTCGTGCCAACTAAAGGCAACCCAGTATGAGCTCTAGCCCTCTTCCCCAGGATGAAATTTTGCGCAAAGTAACATGACCTCGACCCCGACTTCCGGTCTTTCTTCGATCAAGAGCTTCTGAAAAATTTCAGGGGAGACACAACGAATAAATTCCCATGAATAGACAATACGTTGTAGATGACAGAGGTGTATGCTTGGGTGAGTGAGAACTTCGATAAAAAAGAGAAAAAACAAATTCGAATCCAAAAATGCCCAAAGTGATTCACTAATTATGGGACAACCTAATACACAAACAGGTCGGTATCAAGTAATAACAGCAAAATAACGATTACGCCCTGTGGAATTCGCTTAGCACGAACTCCAGGTGTTTCCTTTTCATCGCAAGCCGGCAAGTGCGATCCTCAAGTAGATTTTCTTGTAATTCTAGGCGCTTTCCTTCTCTATAAAATGTATAGTATCTGTGGAAAGAGTAAGTCAGCAATTCAACCCAACCTACCGACAACTGCAGTCAATTTTATGGCGGAGAACTCGATCCTTTTCTGCAAACTGCTCTTCCAATCGCTCTCTCTGCCGCTCCAGCTGAAGCACTCTCATCAACCAAAGGAACACGAATAAGGTTTACTGATTAATACGTTACTGGCCTGAGGTACTGTCCCAAACATAGCGTAACTAAGAAACAAAAAAAAGGAATGAAAATAGACTCGGTTTCGTTGCTAAAAGTTGAAAATGAGAAATGCGGGTTCAAGTACCGTCTGGGCGAAGTGTTTTGCCCATAATTTAGCACCAATATGGAAACAGAAATTATTACAATTGTATAAAAGCAAAGACTGCATACTTCCCGACGCCTCATTTCCATTTGCTCAGCGTACTCAGCGCGAATGTCTGCCAACTTGCGATCCGTGTCTACTCGATCTTTCTCTCTTTGCTGCAAGAGTCGTTTTTCATAACGACGCTCTACACGAGTGCAGAGCCTCTCAGCTACCAAACGCAACTGAAGTTGAGCATCACTTGTTATGCGACTCTGTAGAGAAACAGAAAGTTAATTGAGACAGTGAAACTTCTCAACCATAGTATAAACCAGTTAAAGCAAAAGCTCCCAATTAAAATTTGAAAGCATCCGCTGAATGAATAAATCACCTTATCGATACTCGTAGGGAATTTTGTGTATTCAACATTGACCAATTGGCTCCCACTGTCATTCAGCGCACGATATACAGCTCTGGTAAGGATACTCTCGATGTCCCAGGTAGGAATTTGCTGAAATATGATATTAAGTCAATATCAACAGAACTACAAGCATACTGCGAATCAATACAACTAGTACCTTTGCTTCAGCAGCTATTGATCTGAACACTTGCTCTGCCATCACGGATCACCCCATCTCTGATGAAATCCTGGGAAAACTTTAATAACAAATGTTCGACATGAAAACAATCAAAATCTACATAGGTATGTCGGGATGACTTCACACCAACGATAACTGTTCGAATGCAAATTGGAACTATTTATCAAGGTACCACAGAAAAAAATCATATCATGGCATAAAATACTAAAGAATCTATAAAAACTACAAATCTATGATGCTACCCTTCAAAAGTTATCTACCACGGTCGCTGTGTGACTCCAACGTTTAAGTAAGAAGTTCGTTTGTCGAATGTTGGACTGAAAAAATAAGATCAAGATCGTTCAGCGAAGCAAAATTAAAACGTTCGACTGCTCGATCCCTTTTCAGTATGCGCCTTGCATTTTAAACTCTCATTTAGAATCGTCGCAGCATTTGAATGCAAGCGACTTGTGCGATGACCCAATTCACGACATTTTTTATCGTACTACTCTAGCCTGGCATTAACAAAGTTAATCCCAGACCTAGCCAAGGACCTAAGTTTGTCGATGCCAGGCTACCTAAATCCTGCAAGTAAAAATGACATTGGAGCTTTTTGAATAGAATATGCAATGAATGGCTTGCCGCAACCACTACACAGTTAATTTAGGAAGCCGCTACGACATTATATTGTGAGCGTGCCTCATC